AATTAGAAATATTTTTCCGTCGAACGATATTATATAGCGCTACTAATATACCGATAATAAAGGATATCGTTACGCGGGCCGTATTCCTCGGTAATAACGGGAAATAACGAGGTTATATTATTATTAGCTCGGGTAGCTCGACCGATTCTTCTAGACGTAGGCGATAGTTCGGTAGCTTCCTAGGAGCTAGATCGTATTAAAAGCTCTCGAGAAACGTAAGTAATAAAGGCAAAGCTTAACTCGGCTAATTAACGGATAGTAATAAGAATAACGATAAGAATTAATTCGAATTTAAAAGCGTTACTTTTATTAAAAGTTTATTCTTTAAGCGCGAATATAGAAAACGGAATCGAGCTAGGGACGAAAATTAAAATAGCGGTAGCGCTAACGCGATAACGCTTTTTAAGACTCGGTATAGTATCGTTAACGATAAATAAGCGATTATTAGATTATCCGTAGCTCGGAAGAAAAAAAAGGCCGCCGGCTTTTATCGAGCGAATAAACGTCGGCGCGACGGCGGTAACGATAGTAAGGAAATTATCCTTCCCGCCCCGAACTTCCGTAAGGATACCTAATATATATAGCGACGGCTTAATAAGTACTCGGTACTTACTAATAATTTCCTTAGGAACTATAAATACGGCGGCGGCCTAAGCTCTCGAAATAAAAGCGATTACTAGCTCTTATTCGGCTATAATAATAAGCGCCTAGCGGAATCCCGGGGTAGCTTAAATAACTACCTCCGAATCCCTTCCGAAGTCGCCCTTTATAAAGCTATCCGTAGTTTCTACGTCCCGAGGTATAAACTCGGAAGTATTACCATTATTATTTAGCTTTATAACCCTATATTCGCGAGTAACGTAACGGATCCTTTCTCGCTTTAAAACTTTACGTACTTACTTCCGTTTAATATAACGGGTTCGTTACTTACGAACCTTACCTCTAAAGCTACTTTCCTTACGAACCCGCTTACGAGATATAGTCTTAAGCTTTAATATAACGAAAAGGGCTTTAAGAAGCGATAAAACGCGTCGGATTATACAACGCTCGAGGAAACGGAGCTCCGTAATATTTCATATTATAATTAAACCTTAGTCGGAAATCTAAAATAGATAATTAATTAAAGGCTTATAGCTTATAGTAATTATAATGCGAGAATTAACTTATATATTAATAGATAAATTACTTTCCTTTATCGCGGTATATAAAGAGATTATTAATACCGGCGTTAAAAGGGAAGCTACTTATAATAGCTACCGAAATATACGTATTAATAACGATATCGCGTATAAAGCTATTAAGGTAAGCGATAATTATATCTAGGAACGTATTACGTCGCTTTTCGGCGGCGCTAGAAGTAGTAATTAAAGTAGTTTTAGCGGACACGGGAATATCTAGGATAGCGGTAGCTCCCTCTACTACGGTAGATTAAGTAACTAGCTCTACGTATTCGGGCGGAGCTTAGTCGGGTATAGCGGGGTCGTAAGTTCGTTCCTCGACGAATATTTAGGCGTAGTTACGGAATTATTTTATTTTATCGTTTAATATCTTAACCGCGCTATCGATACTAATAAGGATCTCGTAGGAGCTAAAACGGTCGGATATTTTATCGAGCTATTAGCTTTTAATTATTTATATCCGTATTAATACTACGAAAGCGAAAGCTTATCTTACGACTCGCGCTTATTATATTAATATATAGCTTACGTTAATATACTACTATAAGCTCGTTATAATAAAAAGCAATAATAAAGGAATACCGTAATTAAGAAATAACTTATTTAAATAAAGTACGCGCGGATAAAGTAATATATAAGTTATATACGGAATCGAAAGCGATAGGGAATTAAAAATAAGCGTATCGGATTAGCTTTAGAGGTACTTCTATAAAAGAAAAGAGGAAAGGGAAAGAGCTACTACGAAAGAGTAGGAGAATTTTCTCTTATAGTATGGGAACTCGAGAATAAGGAGAAGCGTTACCGGGTACTAACCTAGGAAAGCTACGAAAGGGTTCGCGTACGATAATAATAATATAAAGCGACGTAATAGGAGCCCTTACGAACGTATAACAAATACGGTAGATATACTTAATTAAAAGCTACGATATATTTCTTTTATAAGGAAATTAAGAAGAGCTAATATAATAACTAATTAGAAGGATACTTTAAGCTATAAGGAATATTATATAAAGGCGTAAGTAACTAAAGCGACGAATATATTACCCCGGAGAGCTAGCGAGGCGAATGAGGCTTAAGCTAACTTAGGACTACTATTAGGAGGATAACTAAGCTAACGATCGCGAGCCCTTCGGCTAAGCTACTATCATTATTTAGCTAAGCTCGCTATCGCGAGCCTAACTAAGGAATATGTTACGTAAAGAGCTACCTATACATAGCTTCCTACTCCCTCTTTAGTTACTTGCTTACCTAACATAGCTCCTAGTTCGCTTATATAACATAGCTTATAGCTCCTTATCGTCTATATATAGGTAGCTCGCATCTCCTTTATTTATCTCCTTTCTTTTAGGATGGTTAGTTAATTTACCTTCTTCTTCTTACCTTCCGTTACTCCTAAGAAGTAACCTTAGTGCCTACGTAGCTCTCCCGATCTACGTCTTAGTTAGGAAATAGGAACTATAACGGGTAGGTAAAACAAGCGTAGCTCTTATAAGAAACGAAAGAAATAATCCCTATACGATATAACGTAATCTCCGTCCTTCTCGTCCATAACTATCTTTTACCGATCTTTTCCATTTAATCTTAATCCTATAAACTAACGTAATATATCCTATTCAAGGCCCGTTTCCTAACTATTCTCGTATAACCGTTCCTATATTCGTCCGGCAACATCTACCAAGCTTTCCTTAACCCTCGATCCCTCCCCTATACGTAGTTCTTGAGGCTCTCTAGGCTCTTCCTACTAACTACATATTGGTAAGGGCGACAAGAGGGGTCTCCGGGCATTATCCTATAACCGTTCCTATTCTATAACTATTTCTAGGCTATCTTATTTAATATCATATTTAATTCGTTGGTATCGGTATCGTCTATAGGTCTTTTATGCTAATCGGTAGGTCTCCGATCAGGTTCGTAGGTATAAGGTATATCGGTATCTTCTTATAGTAATTAAGGGCATCGTAGCACCTATCGGTTAAGGAGAAACCTCCCCAGGTGCCGTATCTAGCTAGAAGGAATAAAATAAGGGCAATCGAGCTATCGGCAAGCCTCTGGTAATTAAAATAAACTAATCGGTAAAGAACGAATGCCTTCAAGCGCGTACGAGGTTATTGTTATAAAAGGGGGGGGGGGGGTGGTGGCGGTAACGGAGTCAGGTCAACTGAGAAAAACTGCCATCTAGGCACTGGTAAAAACAAAGGCGAAACCAGACAAAAACGGACAATATCTCCTTCAAAAGAGATAACTAAGAAACGAGGATAAGATAGATCCACTAATCGGCGAGCGAGCTTTCAGGTAAGCTGATCAAAAGCTAATAGGAGGGCGTAGGTTGTTGAGATGGTCGCCATGGTTATCTGCCCTCCCTGTTGATCTAGCCACCTAAAAATTCATACCAAAAGCTACGAAAACGGCTCTGGAGCTACGAAAATAGCTCCTAATTAAACGAGGCTCGGGGGATCTCCTAATCGACGTATCCTAAACCTATTAACTGTAAAAACGGTCGTCTAAAAGGTCGCTCCTAAGGCTAAGGTAAGGTTGCAGACGAGTTACTAGGTAGTCGCCATTAAACAGAAGCAGCGTAGGCACGCTATAATGGAGGCACAAAAATTATCTAACTACTAATAACTGGCCTAGTGTCGATTAAACCTAGATTATAGCTGCAAATAGCTATAATCGGTTAATCGGCCAGCTAAAAACGGTAGCTAAAAAAGGGAACTAGAAAAGGAAGGTAACGAGGATAGCGAGAAGAGGCATAGCAAGAAACGAGTAAATAGCTATTAGGTCGTAATACCTATAAGTCTAAGTCTAACTAATAAAAATATAAGTACGTGACCCATATAAATATATATCGAAAAGGGTGGGTAGCCTAGATCTACCGCACTACTACAGTATGTAAAAAAAAGCAGAAAAGAAATGTAGAAAGAAGTAATGAAGATATAAGTTTAAAGGTTTCGTAGTTTTATTAGACATAGCGACCTTTTTAATATAGAAATTACATACCTACGTAATTTTACCGTTAAAACTTTTTTTTTCTATACCAGATTTCTTTTATGTTTTATTCTTTTTAAATTCGTTTCACTATATACGTTTTTTATCGTAAATAATATATGCTTTACTTGATATAATATGCGTTAACATAAAAATTTAAACTAGTTTCGAATTTATAAAAGATAGTTTCGTATAAACTATAAGTTTTCTATATATAATTTCTTACGTTTTCTGGGTTTTCTATAATAAATAAAGTTCGTAGCTCTAAAAATCATTATTAAATAAACTAAGTATACTTTCTATATCTCTCTATCCTCCGGATAGGTTATTATTTATAGCGTTTACATTAAAAATAAGCTTAAATAATTCTGCGAAGTAGAATTATTCGAGCCTTATTCTATAAATAATAAATTTCATTTACTTATTAATTAAGCATTTGTTTATTTTAATAATGAATAATTTTAATTCCATCATTTCTATTAACGCTAATATATATAATAAAGGTTAATGGGTTTTATAAAAGTAATGATATTTAACTACTCTTGGTCCTTGAAATAAAATATTACGTAATGAATTAACTATATTTATTTATAGAATGATTATTCGTTTATTCAAGTATTGAATCCGCTTAAGTATATATCTTTAATTGATTTAGTAATATGTAAATGAAGTTGATGACTTTTATAGAAGCTCAATAAGGTGGCTCCATTTTTACGTTTCGGTCGATTTTTAATTCGCGAAAATCGTTTTGTCGGGTACGCACTAATAGTGCACCGTATAAAACGCCGAAACGATGCACCTCTAGCTCCAAATCCCACCCGCCGCACTCCCCCTTCCGCCCTTCCCCCCCCTCCGCGCTCTCACACGTACTCCCGCGCGTTCTGCTGCGGGCTCAGGTCGGGCCGCGCGGCCGGTGTGTGGTGCGGGCGGTAGGAGCTGCTGGGGGGCAAGCTCGCGTTCTGCCCGGGCAGGCCCTGGGCGCCGGCCGGCGGCTGCCAGGGCTCCATCGCGTACCCGGCGGCCTCGGACGGGGAGCCCTTGCTCCGGCTCCACCGCTTCTGGATGAACTTCTTGGTGACGAGGACGAGGATCAGGGCCGGGAAGACGAACAGGATCAGGCCGGCGAGGACGTAGCTGTACTGGGACGCCTGGGCGAGCGGGAAGCCGCTGCGGAGAGAGAGAGAGAGCGGTTAGTACTTTTTTTGGCTAGACGAGGTCTGGAGAGATGAAAGGAGAAGGGGGAGGGGGGGGCTCACAGAAAGCCGTTGATGACGCCAAAGAGGAGGATCGCGCGGCCCAGCCAGACGTGCACGGGCGCCATCTTGGTCGGCTGCTTCGTCTTGCTGAAGTTGCGGTGGTGCAGGAAGCCCAGGGCGAACTGCACGAAGGTGAAGAGGAAGACGAGCAGGCCGATGGCCTGGTGGGCGGTGTTGAACTTCCTGGACTGCGGACACAGCGTCAGCCAGCGCTCCGACGACCTCCTTTCCCGCCGGACGCGGCGCGCGCGCGCCAACTTACCCTGTTGTAAGACCCGCTGATGGCGAACCCGAGGCTCGAGCCGACGACGACGAAGACGAGCGCGAGCGCCTGGTTGACGCCGTGCCAGCGGACCCAGTTGCCGAGCCGCAGGACGAACATGCCGAAGGGGTACAGCCCCGCGAAGACGAGGCACATGATGACGGCGTGCGCCAGCGCCGCGACGTCCCGCTTGCCCTCCTTCGCCAGGCCCTGCGTCGTGCTGACGAGCGGGCTGTCCGCGGACCTGTCGACGGCGGGGACGCCGGCGGGTCCCGTCGCGCGGACCATGTCGAGGGTGAAGGTGCCGTAGGTGGAGTGCATGCGCAGCGGGGCGTCGACCGCGTCGCTCTTGAGGTAGTTGCCGGACTGGCCGGTGGCGTAGAGCATGCTCTGGGCGGCGCTGGCGACGTCGACGCTGCCGCCGGGCCAGACGCGGCAGTTGGCGCAGCGCCCGTGGAAGACGTACGTGGTGCCGTTGGCGTCGAGCCCCGTGCCCGGCAAGGCCTCGACCTCGATCTCGGGCGCGGGCTCGGGCTCCGAGTGGCCGAAAGCGAGGCGCGGTGACAGCGTCACGTTCTGCCCGGATGCCGAGGGGTACGCTACGAGCACCAGCGCGCCCGCCATCCTGTCCGACCCCAGCCCCACGGCACCCCAGCTTACGCCCATGGGGATCATTAACGAGAAGTACAGATCCGTGGCAGAGTCATCCGGCACGTTGAGCGCGAAGGCGAGGTTCCGCGTCGGCGTGATAAAGACCGAGCCCGCGGCCGTCCCGGCATTGGGGGAAGAGGAGGTATTTCGAGCGGCCTGCGCACGCGATACCGTGGTGAAGAGGGAAAGGCCTGCGGTAGGTTAGCTGTGGGTTCCTGTCGGGAAGGAAGGGGGAAGGGCATACTAATTAGGACAGCCAGACCAAGCTGGCTGAGTATATTACACGTCTTCATGTCTCCGGATATTCTGGTACCGGGGGAAAGGGTATGGCCAAGGTATGCTGGTTACGTGCGACGTCTCGAGGGAAAAGAAAGAGGGAAAAATAGCAACACCAATAGAGAATAGACTAAGTTGACAGGCACCTCAGGTATTAGATAGAAGTATTAGGCAAGCAGGTATAGCCAACGCTCCTCTCCTGTCCAGTGCGCTAGCTACCTTACGAGAGACCCGGGGCAAGGGTAGATACGAGGACAGAAACAAAGGAGAAGACGGCTTAATAGACAGCTTGGGGAGCGGAAAAGTCAGCCTACCTGGCCGCGTATTTATCCCCTCTCCTACCTCCTAGGCACTGCCATCTCCCTCGTCCTCTTCTTCTTCACCTTCACGCACCGCCCGTCGCCGCGGACCACACGCGCACACATGCCTACGCAAGCGCGCGCCGTCCCTGCCCTACGCGGCGCTTCCCCAGACACGCATCCCCACTCTGCTCACCCGCCTACCTGCGCACCCATCGTCCAGCAGCGAGAGTAGTACCTACGTAGGTAGCGATCAGCAGCGGCGGCGCCCCAGGCGACGCAGCGACGCGGGCCCATTGGCTGCCGGGAACCGCAGATGCGTCCCCGCGAGGAGGGCAGAGGAGGTAGCCGCGCGCGCGCGTCGGCGGGCGGGGGTGCGGGACCGCTCGATTGGGTCGGGAGATCCGGGGTCGGGGTAGGGGGAGAGGGGGGGTTAGGTAAGGGAATAGGCGCTGCCGTGTTTCTGCCCGGTTCGCGTTCTCTTTCTCCCTTCCTGTTTCTCCCTTCCTCTCTTGCTTTCATTTAAATCTCTCTTCATTTCCTACCCATTACTCCTCTGCTTCGCGTCTCGCTCCCTTCTGCTCTCTCTCTCTCTCTCTCTCTCTCTCTCTCTCTCTCTCTCTCTCTCTCTCTCTCTCTCTCTCTCTCTCTCTCTCTCTCTCTTTTTTTTTTTTTTTCTTTTTCCTTCCTCTGTTGACAACTACGAACGAACAACCGCCCACGTAGGTACCTAAGCACGGTCGATAAGAAGGCTGGTTAGGTAAGTCGGCGAGGTCCTACCTATTTTTAACCGCCATGGCGCCCGTGCGCGATGCGGATTGGCTGGCTCCTGGTGGCCTGCGCAGAGGGCGAAACATTCTGCAGCGGCAGGGGCCGGATTCCGCCGTCTGAATGGCTGCGGGGGGGAGATGAAGAGGGGGGACGGACGGGCGCGAACCGCCGTCGTATTTCTGTAGGGCTACCTATTTCACATATCATCCTCTTTACATCTCGAACAGCATCTCGCTGCCCGGTTGGGCTCGAAGTCGGACATCTACCTACAGATAGCCCCCTCGGTGAAAGTGTGCGGGCGGGTTACCTGCTTACCTAGGTATACCTGCACACCCGTCCTACCCTATAGGTTAGCACATGCACCGCAAGTTGGCTACCTACCTAGGTACCTAGAATCACCCTGTGTAGAGTGCCTACAGGCTCAATTTTGATCGCATGCTAGCTAAGCTAGCGAGAGGCCGCGCCCAGCTCGACTTTGGTATATGTGACGTCTCGTTCGTGGAGGACGGGTTCCTTCAACCGACGCAGAAAATACCTGAAACCGCGTCAGCCCTAGGCTCTAGGTACTATATTCGGAACCAAAGACCTGCCGTAGCCAGTCGCGTCGCCACCTCCCGGCCGTGTTTCAGGTTCGATTGGCTACCTAACCGTATTTTCAGCACGTCTGCCCTCTTCTATATCCCTGGTTTTTTACCCTCTACCTGTATCTGCCGTCTAACTGTCCGCCGCCGCAAAGAGGCGTCATCATGCAAGTGACCTTACCGGGAATCCGCCGGTTTGGTCATTTGGTACTGTCCATCTCTGCTAGTTAGGGTTACGTATCGCAACTATCAGGACTTCACTCGTGAAATTATACGTAGCTCGGTACGTATCAGTGCATGGGTATAATATGAAGACGCCCTCCCTCGGCCGACAACTTCTCGCCCAGCCACCACCGTTCTCGATAGCCTCATTCGACAATCCCCATGTCAAGCTCAGCAACTCCACGATCTCGCGTCCCCAACCTCGGCACCGGTGTGTAGATTTGCGTCTGTCGCACTGCGCATTCCACCGGGGGGTAGGTATCGTGTGCAAGATCGATCCGATGAGCTAATTAGCCAAGCTAGCCTGATCTAATCTTGAACGTACTGCAGCTCGGGGACGCTAGTTACAACATCCTCCTCTTGCAGGCCCAGCAGGTTGAGGAGGAGGAGAAGTCTGAACGACAGTGTCAATGCGCCGCCTCCTCTTTCTCGTGGCTCTCCTCATCCCCTTTATGATAGTCCCCATCTCCGTCGTCGTTGACCTCGACCTGTTCCTCGCGGTTGTCGGTCCCTTCGTCGTCCTCAGGAGAGGGTTCGTCAGACGAAAGCTCCATAGAAACTTCTGGGGAGTCTGGTCATTCTGACTAATGGGACCCGGCTGGTCGATCTGGCCTCCAGGCGAGTCGTTGGTCTCTTGGACTGCCTGCTGGGGGACAGCCGCCAGAGATTGGCGATGGCATTCCGGGCGATGGAAACGCTCTACCGTACCTGAACGCAGGCACTATTTGAGAGGGTGAGTGTCGGACGATGTGAAAGAGAGCGGAAAATCAATTTGCGAAAATCGGTTTGGCGGGTACGCACTAATGGTGCGCTGTAGGCGGTGGCCCACGTCGTGTCGCTCCGGAACGAGCGCTTCGCTGTTTTTTCCGCACGTCGTCCCATCTTGTTGTTCCAGGAGGGACATATGGCACGGGTACATGGGCTGTACTGGGTTGCGAATCCGGCTTCCCACCCTCTCTTCAACTGTCCAAGGGCGAATCTTACTCTATCGAGTGCCCCGTTGATCGTGCCCATGCTATACACTCGACGTTCCCTGGGCACGTAAAATACTACAGCGAAGTGCGACTTTGTGAACTCGGGGGTTGTCGAGGCTGCGTTCCGGGTCCGCGGAATCCGTATGTATCGTGAAGACAATAGAGGAGGATGGGCTCCTGGTGAGGTGGTTTCTGGTACTGTCGACGAGGCGGCTGGCCGATCGGTGTCCTAGGGCTCAAGGCCAGGTTGATTTCGAAGGCTGCTTTTCTCGCGGTTATCTCACTTCTCCGAGACGGCCAGGCGGCGACGGCGGTCAAACTTCGCGAGAAGTAGAATCTTCACTCAATGATCCGATGCAGAATGCCACCATCTCATGTCTCTGTCTAGCTCCTCCTAAAGACTCGGGAGTCTTCATAACCGCGCAGCCGAAGCCCGCGGCGTCTGCTCTGCCTCTCATTCTCGATCCGGGCGGAGTCTTGACGAGAGACATTTGCGGCTGTGATTAATAGGCATACAATCGTTATGAGCCACACATACAGGTATGGTACCAGTGTACCTCGAGAAAGTCCCTAGAGGTATGATTAATTGTTTGGGAACGCTCCTCGGTAGTGGTACATCGCACGATGGAGGAGTCTATCGTGCTGTGATGCCGTGGTAGGCAGAACAGAGCCGGTTTAGGGCGGGGAGAGGAGGAGGGTTGACGCTGCAATGGTTGATATTGCGAGATGTGCGATTTGAGAATGGAGTAAGTGTTTTGGGGGAGGGAAGTGGTGGTTTTCTATCTTCTCATTTTGTGGGTGGAAAAGTGCACGTCAAACGAGACGACGTGAAGGGAGGCGCAATGAGTTTAAGCCTGCCCTGGGCAACTTGCAAACACCAGCACGGCAAACTGTTGCTGTAAGGTATGCGTGATATGCAAATAGGCTGTCTGGGGTACCTACCTCTAGGTAGATGTAGGTAGGTACAGTGTGCACTGTAACCTGTAACTAACCGACCAGTAGGCACCTAAACAGACAAGTATAGCCGCCGTGGGTTGCTGGGCCGTAGGTACCGTGTAAGTCACCGCGTCTCGGCCCGTCAGGTAGAAATCCAAAATTCATTTCCCGCTAGGTACTTTCTAAGAGCTATCTTCCAATTATGCTCTAGCCAGGTATGCAGTGCTCTCTCTCCCTCTCCGCTTCTGGAACCCGTCAATCATCCCATCAACACAAACGCCCAGAAATCAATCCCCATCATCGTCTCAGACGTCGCGTGGAAGGACAAGCCGCAAATAAAAGTAGTCTCAAGGAATATATACGAGAAGAAAGATGGCATGAGATGCGCGATATCGGGTGCCCGTGGTGATAGGTAATATGCCATGCTGCTTCGCGGGTGCGAGACAGCGGGGCCGGACAGCTTAGCTGCCCCCGGCGCGTCTAGAAGCCGTTGAGGTGGTCCTGGGTCTTGATCGTGTCTCCGACGTTGACAAAGTCGAGCTGCGGCGAACGCGTTAGCCATTTCCCCCCTTCTCTTCTCGTCGTCAGTTTTGCACTCACCAGCACCACGTTGGGGTTGCGGCCGTAGTTCTTCTTGCAGATCTCGGTCTGCTCCGAGATGGACTCGATCGAGTTCGTGTCGCGGGCGTGCAGCGGGTCGGGGATCAGCAGGCCCTTGAAGATCTCGATGTTGAGGTTGTGGTTCGCCAGGAACATGCGGTCGTCCGCCGACACCTGGCCCGGCCGGTCGATGTCGCACTGCACGAAGTTGTCCTCGGTCGGGCTGAACGGCGTCTCGAAGTAGTACGCGAACTCGTCCAGGATGTACGGCACCTTGGACGTGTCCATGTTGTAGTCTGCGACGCACCCTCCTGTCAGTTCCCGCCGCGCCTGTGCTCCCCGCCATGTTCTCTGTTGTACGTACCCATGAAGACGATGACGCGCTTGCCGCTCGAGATCAGCTCGCCAAGCGTGGGCCAGTCCTTGAGGCCGAGCTTGCGGTCGGGCGTGAAGACGTAGCGGTCGAGGCCGCTCGACTTGAAGGCGTCGGCGAACTTGTTGATGTCGATGGCGTCGCCGTTGGTGATGAGCAGCGTGACCACCTCGTTTTCGTGCCCGTCGATCCAGCTCTTCACCTCGCCGAGGTAGTCCTTGAGCGGGCCGGCGTCCTCGAGGAAGCACGAGGTGTGGCACATCTGCGGGTTCCCCCTCTTCTCCTGCGTCTGCCCCGTCAGGAAGCGCACGCCCAGGTCCAGCTGCTCCGTCACCGAGACGAACTGGTTGTCTGCCGGGCCGAAGCCGACGAAGGGCGCGTTGTGGGACCCGATGAAGGAGACCTCGCTGTATTTCCGGTCGCACAGCTCGGCGCGGCCGTTGCAGTTGGCCGCGAGGGACCCCGCCGCGAAGAGGGCGGCCGAGAGAGCGGTACAGCGCATCTTCGTAAAAATGACCTCTTCTGTTCTTTTTTTTTCTTTTTTTTCCAACGTTCCGCAAGTTGCTATCGCCGCGAGTGGGTACACGAGGTTGGACCGAAAGGCAAGAAACAACCAAAGAATAAAGATCAGCAAATCTATCGATATTAGGCAAACTCGAGAAGCGCAAGTCTGATGGTGCCTGCCCCGATTTCAACGCGAATCCATCGTAAACCCTTGAGAAGGCAACGAGCGGACGACCATGTGTTAAATACCTAGCATGTTCACATGAGCGCGCGGGGAGCATTCGCGAATGAGGACCAGACGCCAGGGCCGACGGGGAGAAACATTGGGAGGAATGACCAGGGGGGGGGGGGGGGTTAGGAGGGGGAAGCGGACAGGGTCGCGAGACTCGGCGATCAAAAATATCGAAGAAACAGCTCCGTTGCCAGCACGCGGTCGCAGCATGTGGGCGGGTCGCCCGAACGGGAGATGAGACCTTCTGGATTCGTTCCTGGCCTTACCCTGAGGCCCGGGGCGCGCGCAAGGGTGGTGAGCTGAAGAGGTAGGTATGTAGGTATATTGCATAGCACATTGGTATATAGATGATACCCACGGCTGCAACTCTACGCGGCGGAGGCAGCACTGCGTTGGTGCTGTATGCAACGGATATCGGCATGCCAGTACCGCATGCCGTAGGAAAGGGGAAATTCCCCCTTGGAGAAGAGGGGGGGGGGGGGGGGAGACGAGGCGATCGGATGGAATAAGATGGCGCGCAGGGCACACGCCGACAGGGGATGGGGCACTCAACTCGGCGGCGGCGGCGGATGCTGGACCCAGTCGCGCGGGGGATCTGCCCTTCCTAATCGGGCAGGACAGGAGGGCGGCGCAGGGCGTTTCGCTGCGGCTCTGGTAGCTTGGGCGGCATCGTGGTGCGGTGTCGCGCTATGCCTTGGTATGGGTAGGTAATTCAGACGGGGCGAATAGGTTCGATTGGGTAGGTAGGTAGGAATTCTCGAGGACTCACGGCGAATTGCCCTTCACGAACCGAGTCGGCAAATTACCTACCTGCCTGTCCATCTGAGGGACCTGCCTAGCCTAGAGGCACGTATTCCTAGGTATGTGTTAGGTGTACTACCTATAGGTGCCTCCCTCTTGACGGAGGTATACCTCCTTACTGCGCATGTCCATAGTTTTTACTATAGACATTTGAGCGTTGTTGGTTCGCAGCATGCGCACTCTCGACTCCGTCCGTTTCCACCACCCCGTAATAGCGGTGGGGAGGCCCCCCGAAACCGCCCAGCAAAGGGGGAGGAGGCTTCGCATCGGGGCGACCTATTCTTATCACGCGGCGCCCGTTAATAGGCCTGGGGCAGTCGGAGGTGACCGCTGATGTCTCGCCAATCAGGTAGAGGTAGGCAAGACCTGGGCAGGTACTTAGGTACATAGGTACCTCGCAGGCCACCCATATTTTCCCTTTCCCAGCCGGGTCGGCGCGCGAGCCGTGATTGGCCAGCAGTTAACAACCTCGACGCGCGTTCTCGAACCGTGCAAGATGATTGGCCAGATGGAGGAGTGCCGTGCCTAAATCGACTCCCGAATTCCAGTTTGCCTACAGGCAATTGCCTGTAGGCAATTGCCTATACCTACCTGTACATATAAGCCGCAACCAGTTTTTGCTTGCTGGTCCAATTTCCTACCGACTGCCTAAGTGGGAATTTGCTCTCCGAAAAAGGATCGACCTCCTCGTAATGCTAACCACCTGCACGGAGATCTCGAGTACTCCCGGCCGAACTGTTATCGACACCTATGCCTATCTGAGGGACATCTCGCAGTAGGTTTAGGCACCTGCTGGGAGGTGATGTCGTGGAAGGACCGAGGAGCCCCGTCCCCATATCGGTCACTCCTTCTTCGAGCCGCCTACTTTGAGCTTTCCTCGGCAGTCACGGCTTCCTATCTATTTCCCGGCATTATGTACCTGCTCTCTTGCTTGCTGTTGCCCAAAGAAGCCACGATGAGGTTCACGCATTGCCCACGCCTTGCGAGACGTCACCAGAACTGAGCCGAATCGCCCTCATCCCCTCCCCATCTCTCCCTCCTTTCCCCTGTATCTCTGGGTCTTCTACCTCGCTATCCTTCGTCTCGTTACCCTATGCACAATGAACATGCTAAGTGAGAAAGGGAGCACTACCCCCGAGTCGTAGTCCGCGATAGAGGCATTCGTTGCCTCAGGTTGCATTTTCCCGTATTGACACCAGTAAGTATGAGCATCTCGACTAACATCCTTCCCAACCCTGCTCATCCGAGCCTCAAACCGAAGTTTCCAAATGCCGAAGCTGATACCCCACGACTAGTTGGCATTACGAACTAATGGTTGTGAGATCTCCTTGTACTTTCCTCCCCTCCGCCTGTGAGGGATCAGGTTCGGCGCACGAGAGCCGCCGTTGCTACGTGGTGAATAATGCACTTGTCTTGCGAACCAGCGCTACTAGGAACACAGGCCAGGAACACCGCGTACAAGGACGCGTCTGAACTGCTAGATGAACCAAGAATCGGTCGATCATACGCTGAACAACGAAAGTGGCTGAGATCGGAATGGTACGGTAAGATCTGCGAAATCTTAACCACAAGGGGCATCAAGGTCGAAAAGCACAGCCGCATGAAGTGGAAGTCTCTACTAAATAAGGCAAAAGAATACCGGATGCAGAACTCTTGTCTACAACACCGCTACAGAGGCACGTGGAACCGGTGCCATTTGTCAGATGAAGTATCTAGAGCCTTGGTAAAAGTACACGACGCAGATGAACTAAATAACGAAGACTACCAAGTAGCGCTGGTAGGAATCGAACCTATCCTTCATTGAGTAACCTACTGATCTCGACCGCTGCTACAAGGTGCGCTCCCCCGCGCGCCGGTATCACACGATACCGCCTATCCCCATCCACCGGGCAGACAAAGGACCTTATACAAGGTACGCTTTACTACTGTCGTTTTACCTGCATTGGTATATACGCACCACCTATAAGGACCTTTTTACAAAAGGCGGTATCTGGGCTCGAACCAGTAGCTTCTAGAGTTTGGCAGTGCGTAGCGACCAAGTAGCTACCAAATAATATATTAGAAGCTACTTATCGTCCGGGGTATTAGACGGTCTAGATCGCGGATTACCGCCCCAATGGAGCCCTGCTCCGGTTCTTCCGTAAGAAAAATCGCATCACCTAACCTTTCTACACGTCAATTCGTCGCTTAGATATACTTTAACTATACTGTGTTTCCAGGCGGGACACTTCGAGAGGTTGAGGGCTATCCGCGCCTCTGACAGGTCCGGGCCGCCTACGACCCTAGGTTAGACTTCGCCTTCTCTTTACTTTAAGGGTACAGAAACAGATTTTATCTTCAACTTAAACTTTTTGAACGGTAACGGTTATAAAGTACCTCAGGGTCTTTTTAATCAACCGACCGTTTTCTTCGTAGGGAGACCGGAAAGGCTGAGTCTAGAAGGAAGGCCTCGTCAGCGGGGGATATATAATAGTATACCGAAGTAAAAAGGCCGACCAGATCACGAAGACGGGGGGCCCCGCCCTTCCGGCAAGGAGGACGTGTTGTTTGCGTACCACTACCCAGGAAGATGTAAATTTCACTTGCGTGGCTTATTGTATTATCTGGTGGTTAGATTCCATAAGACACAAACTATCGCGAGCGTGGCCTCGTTTACCTATTCATTCCCTGACCCCTTTTCCTCTCGGCCATCTCTGGCTTCCGCCGTGTAAGCCTCGATATTATACTTACCTACATCCTCGACACCTTGTCACCTACCCAGACAACTAGAGGTAGAGCGATACGCATCCGGTACATTCCTACTTTACATTGTCTTTTTATCTATCCAGCCTACGTACATCCTCTTCTTTTCGCTTAGTCTGTAATGTCAAATCCGGCCCCACGTAGCATGGCGGAGCGAGCACGCTACTAAGATAGCTGTCCACCCCCCTTCCGCATCCCTTTCCACGCGCTCCCCCAGCCTCTCTGCGCCCCGAAGGCGAGTTCATCGATGTCCGCGGCGGGAGTGACGCGGGCTACCGTCGCCGGGCTCTGTCGATCGGGTGGGCTCCCCTCGCGCCTCTCGCCTCTCCGCCGACTCGGAGGCGGAGGTAGGTGGGGGTTTCGGTGGCCTACGAGGACGGCGCGGGACGGGAGTGCGCGCGCCGACGCTGGTGCTAGAAGCCATCCGCTGACGGGACGGGTGGGCAAGAACGAGTAGGTGCCGGACATCGGCTGCGGCGCGGCAGCAGCTCAAAGCAGAGGGGCACCGGGACAGAGCCCCTGAAGGCGGAGGGGCCGGCGAGAACTACGCAGCCGGGCTGGAGGCCTAGGACCGGGCGTATTATCTGCCGTTTCCGTTGTTGCCCTTGCGTCCCGCGCCCACGGCTGTTCCCACGGTTAAGGTTACCGCTCTCCCAGCCGGCTGGCTGCCCAGGGCCGCCATGCGCTTCGCTTACTCGCTAGCGAAGGGAGAGGGCGACGCGGAGGCAGGACGTGGGCCACTGGGTACCTGAGAGGTAGGCAAGAGGTAAGTAAGCGTGTATATGTGTAAGAGGTAGGTAAGCACTTAGGCGTCGGGCGCGGAGACGGACGGGCTTGCGGGCGGGCGGGAGAGGGCGTCGAGGGTCGTCCCAGTTAGAGAGCAGCTGCGGCTACGAGTCGCGACCCGTGGCGCTGGGTCGAAGCGGTAAATAGGGTAAGGGGTGAGGGGTCAGGGGTGAAGGGCGAAGGCGGGAATACGCAGGGTGGAACACATTGCAATCTCCAAGCGACGCCTCTCTCGCCTGCCCGTCTTCCCTCTCTACCCTCACCCAGACACACCTACACCCACTTAGACACACTCACACACATTTTCCCCTTCCCGCCTATCCCCCTGCCCCTCTTACCCAACTCTATGTCCACCATCCCGCACTTGCACACACCTGACCCTCCCTAGACGTGGTTAGCTTCGGATCGCAGGGTGTCGACTTAGCTTATGCCAACCC